TATAATTTGGGGGGGTGTCACATAGTAGATTCTTTTTAATTCTTGGAACCTTTTTATTACTCAAGGAAAGCACTTTTGTGTGAGCAGTTCCAAAGAACTTGGCAATGTTAGCAGTTAATTCATCGTCCAACTTTAATTGTAACAAGTATCTGTTGGCCACTTCAACCAAAGCCTATTCTGGCCATGGCATAAACCAAATCATAGTGGTATTATTAACCAAACCTGGATACATACGACAATAGTTTCTTAGATTCTCTCCAGTCTTACTCATCAAAATCATAAGATGGAAATTGTTTTGAATTCTAGTGAAGAAATATTCGATGAGGTCTTCATCTTGGATTTTAGCATCCTTGTCTAATTTGTTTTCTTCTCTGTAATGCTTTCTGACTCTATCTTTGATCTAGGGATAGTCTTCCTTTTGACTGAATAGATTTGGTACCTCACCCACAGAGAGAATGTTATTGATATCTTCAATGAATCCCTCATTAGCAATTTGATTGTCACTAAAGATGAAGGTTCCAGAGACTCCCTTAAATCCTGCCTCTTCACACCATTTTTTGATGTCTTCTCTGAACTCTTTCATTCTATAATTCTTACTGACTTCAATCTACCAACTCTTGTATTCAGCAATATGAGTGGCTAATTTTGTGAGTGAGTGTCTACCAGCACCACCTTCTCCAACAAGCATTCCGTGTCCTTTGCCCAAATTAATGATACGATTGATCTTACAAATGTAATGGACTGCTTCTTAAAAGAGAACTATGTTCATGGCCTTAGACTTATTTTCAGTGTTGAATTAGACCAATTTCTCCTCTAAGAATTTCTTCAAATTCTCTCTGTCATTATATGTCACTTCAATGTATTTGCCTCCACTTTCCTCCATGAAATTGGCAAAGACTGTGTCATCTTCATTTTCATTAGTACACTCTTTGATGGTGGTTTAGAGACATGAGACCAATTGATCGTTGATCAATTATTTGCATAATTATCTGTCCTCAACACTAATGAGTCTATCATGGAATACTCTTAAACATTCATGCGCCCACAATCTAAGTACAGTCATTTTGTTATCACAATACAATCTGTCTAATTAGTAGACTCCTTGAATGACTTTGGAGATGTCTCTCATATTGAAGACATAATGAGATTTGGCAGGAGTAGGCAAAAAGTTATTTGTGACCATCTAGAATAAGTTGTATGTGGCTTAGCCAATGGGTTCAATGAGTAATTTGATTTCATCCTCAAATTCTTAAAATTTATAAGCCAAAATGGATTAATAGATTCTCTTGACTTGTTGATCTGAGAGCACAACAAAATTGATGACATGGAATTTGTTTTGAATTCTAGTAGAGATTTCTGCTCTACCACCACCTGGAGGTCCCATAGCTGATACGAATTGAATATCTAAAATGAATTTGAATAGCTCTCTGTTTGTACGATCAAACCATCCTTCATAATCCATCCATTAACGAATAAGTTCAAGAGGTGGTTAACTTCCATAAATGTCCTTTCTGGGCATATTGAGATCATCAATAAATATGATCATTTTCTTGCCATCAGGAATCATCTTATTTTTAGATCTCTTTACCAATTTACTTTCAATCATTTCTTGAGTCTTTTATGAGGAAGTCTGTGCTGAAAACACAATGTTCATAGTAGTGTACTCAAACATCTAAAGGAGAACTCCATTCAATAAAACAGTCTTTCCAGTACCTGTCAATCCTACAGCCAACACAGCATTTTTGTTACTAAGTAATCTAGTGATGATGTTCTTGTTTCTGACCTGATCAGTTGTAGGTACAAGCATTTTGTGATATGGACTATTATTTTCAGGTTTCCATTGACCAGTACCCAACTTTTCATCCCATGAAGCCCATTCATTTTTATCACTGTTTTACAAAGAAATCATAGACAGTATTTTGACTGGGGAAAATCAAATCAATATCACGCATCTATTAGTCAATAATACGACGACCATCTTCATCTACTGTGGCTCCTATGCTCCACACCAATCCAAATGTAAACCACTTTTCAAGAAGTGTCCAATAAACATCACTCTTGTTTTGAATGTCCATTGACAATTGCTTTTCACTCTTAAAGAAGCAATCCATCAAATTACAGAATGAGATAATGACATTGGTTTCACTGCATGGTATGATTTCCTTGCACCACTTTCTTTGTTTGAAGAGTTTTGGAATCCATCTCTCTATGAATTCAAAGATAGTTTCTTAAACCAAAGGATCTGTCAATTTCTCAACCCAACTCTCAATGTAGGGTCTCCATCCGAGATCATTTATGTCCAAATAAACCATACCTGCTCTTGACACTGTGGCTGGGGAGGCGACTGCCAGATTCTCCACTTCAAAAATCAATCCCATTTATGGAGGTAATGAGATTCTATCACCATTCAGTAGGGTCAACACTTTATTGTCATCTAGCACTGTATTCATAGATTCAATCCAAAGTGTATCGACTGGTCCATCCAGAATCATCCATTTTTGATCTGGTGTTTCATCTTTGCACAATCGAGCCATCATGGATGATAACACGCCATCATTCCACTCCATAGTAGAATTTACATAACCAAACAATTCATTGATGGTAACAGCCTTTGGATTCAACACTTCAATCTTCACCTTAGGATACTTGTTGGGTTCTCTTTCATTCAATGAATTTAAACAATTCTTCAATACTTTCCAACATGTAGTCTTGCCTGCCAATGATTGACCTACAAGCATATTACCATGACGTGTATTCTTTGAATCATACAATTAGATGATTTTGTTGATGTGTTCTACTCTTGTTTGCAATTTGAGATTTCTCATCTGGGTTTCAATTTCATTGAACAAAGTTTCATTTATTTACTCTTACAAGTCAACATTTGGAAATAGATCGTTGAAAAGAGCATTAAACAATGGGACATCTTCAGAGACAAATTTTGGAATGTTCATATCTCTAATGGCCCTCATTAGAATCTAGGTCTCTTGATTTGCTTCGTCCATCTCACTTTCCTTCTAATTCTCTCTAGCATTCTCATCTTGCTTGACTTTCTGGATTTCATTGGATTTATCTCTTCTGATTTAACCAGCACAGGTGAGAACAGACTTGATGGCTCTTAGACCGAAATCATAATGATCTTGTTTAGACAATTGTTGGATCATCAATCTATAGAGTGTAACCATCTTGGTGGAGAGAGCATGTCCAGTCTTGAATCCTTCTGATGTAAGCATGATTTCACAAATGATTTCATTCTCAGGAACCATCATAGAAATTGGTCTGAATAAAGACTTCAAGTTGTCTGGAAGTTCTGATCTACCAGCATAACCAGGATTCATTGTGATGAATATAGCAAATTGATCATTGATGGGTATCACATCTGAATCCAATTGGAAGGATGACTTCTCCTTATTCTTTTCGTATTCTTTCAATGCATTCATTATTTGACTCACTTGTTATGCAACAACTGATAACACTTCCACTTCAATACGATTGAATTCATCGAAACAACCCCAACCACCTACTTGCACTAATCCACTGAACATTCTACCAATACTCTTGTAATCCAATCCTTCTGAACAATTGAAAACTAATACAAATTTAGCCATATTCTTGCCCAAATCCTTAACTGTTTCTGTTTTACCAGTACCAGCAGGTCCTTAAGGAGCACCTCCTTTTTTCAAATGCATAGCTGTTGTCAAAGTCATGTAGCATCTATCTGTCAAAGCAGTTACAACCAATCTACCATTGTTACCTTAATATTCATAACCATAAGCAAAACTGCTATTAGCTTATTCAACCTTACACTCAAATATATCATTAACTGCTGTGCCTGTAAATCTTAATTACTTCAACCATTCAAAAGAATGTGGAGATTGACAATTCTTTGTGAGATGATCAATAATTTCCTTCTGGTGTACCTCAATAGTAATTAAAGCAACCAATTTCAATCTATCGACCTCATTACTGGGTTTACGAATCAATTTAGTCAATTCCAAGATGAATGATTGTTTCTCATCTTTGATAGCCTTCCAGCCTCTATTTTTCTCTGGTCTTTCAGAATTGTAGATCTAATTTAACACATTGGCACAATCACCTGACCATGTCAATTGACTGGCAGTAATTAACAATTATCCAGGATGTTCCTTGACCCATTTATCAACCCAACGCATTCCTTCCTTCTTCTTTATACTCTACATTGTAGAGAATAATTCCTTCTTGAGTACATCTCTCATGGTCTTCTCAGCCTAACCAAGCCATTTCTCTAATTGAGAATCGCAAAGGACTTTGGTAGTGAATTTAACAACTTCTCCATCTGGGGCTACCATGGCTTAAACTTCATAGACATCTTATTTGGCTCTTCCAGTCTAGTATTATTGGGTGAGGATATCGAATTTCTTGATACCTTCGAAACATTTCTTGATGTGCTTATTGACTTTGAACACGTCTTTGGAGTTTCCCAAAAGTTCAAACAAGTCATCGTTGGACAAGAAATAGAATCTGGGGAAATCCTTACGTTATTTCTCCAATAATTAATACAAGATCTTTTGACTCTCGTCCAATTTCTAATTCATTGTACATAATTCTTAATAGAAACCCTCATATGACAATGACCTTTTGACATTCTTATCTTCATAGATACGATTCATGTGTCCTGATAATTGAGAATTGATTGCTGCAAACTTATTGATATCTCCCATCAATTGTTTTTCAGATTCCTTCTCTTGAGTGGCAAAAATGGCTTCCAAATAAATCCATTATCTTTAAACTATAGATAACATTTCCAAGGTCTCTGAGATTTGTTATAAGCAATTCTCCCATCTTTCAATAGTGGGTTTGAATGAATCATAAAAGGCAGTTGTTTTTTGAGCACTCAAAACAGCCATATGATCTTCCAAAATAGTGAAAATCTCTTCAGTCTTCTTGATTTTGTAGGTCTTCTTGAAAGTGTCCATTTCCAATTCAAGTTTAGCCCATCTCTAATCAATCTTATCCAAAGCATTTTCAATTTTGAATTCTTCCTTAGCAACTTCACACACATCCTTAACAGCTTCACCATAGGATAATAGATTCAATTTGAATATTTCAGCCATGTTGAAGTCTTTGCTATCTGGTTCAATGTTGGTTCCTAGATGCTATCTCATTTTATCCCAATGTCTGTCTCTCATGTATTGTTCTCTCAACATGATGATCAGAGGAAGTGTTTGTTTGAATTAATCAATAATTTGTTTCATGTGATTAACAATTTCCCACTTCTACTATTCTCTTGGTAAAGCCTTCAACTTCCTCAAATAATCATCACCAATTTCGTCCAAATTGTCACAATTGACATCTCTGAAAGCTGTACTTCCAATATCCTTAATAAATTAATCCCATTCTTCCTTGGTGTGCCAAATGTAGGATAATTGTGCAATCTCCTTCTCCATGAATTCCAAATCTGGAGATGGAACGTAGTTGAATTTAAACAAATCGAAACCAAATTTCATTGATTCCTCTTTCTTACGATATTGCTTAACTTATTCAGAATATTCATTTAAATTTAATAATGCCTTTTCATGAGGCATATTGGTTGCTTGATATGGAGCATTACTCTAAAATACAATCTTGTAATCTCCAGTTTCCTTGATGAATTCATCCAAATTCTTCTGAGTTTCCAAGTACAAATTGTTGTGTACTTTACGGTTTCTCTCTTAGATTCTATCCAACATCACATTGAAATTAGCCCAAGTGTTTCTTAAATTGTTCTTTCTTGTGATATCATCATCTTTCAATTGTATTGAATAATCCTCCAACAACTTAAACTTATCTTCCAATGGACCCAATTTAGCCTCAATGGATGGTCTATCCTCATTCAACTTATTCCAAAGATCACTACTCTTCTTTAATTGTTACAAATCTTAAGGAACAATGTCCAAATTTGTTTCTGAGGTCTGGAATAGTGAGTATAATTAATTCAAATCTTGCAATGCTTTATCCTAAGTTGCATTCAAGAAAGCATTCTACCAAGAGATCATAATATCAATCAAAGTAGATTTAATTGAAGTGTTATCCAAGATGATGCAATCTTGGGTTTTTGTTGTTTCTAATTGCTGGATTTCTCCTTAATGTAAATCAAAGGTTTCCAATTGAGTTTTGATATTAGTAATTGGATCATTTCTGTTGATCATGTCCTTAATAAATTTCTCCTTCTAATTTGCCTATTGCCAATACCAATCGTAACGTTTCCATTAACCATGAGCATCTACTGAATTCAAAGCATCACAAGTCTTGCTCAATTTACTATTGATTTTCTGAATCAAACCATCACTATCGTTCTTGATCTTGATATTCTGTTCGTTATCTAGACTCCTAACTGATATCTAAGTCTCCTACTCCTATTATTAAACTTAAGATATTTCACTCATTCTTCTAATATTTTAAGCCTACGGATTCTTGGAGTCTTTAGAATTTAATAAGATTGCTTCATCTAATTTCTTCTTTCTCTCCTCCTTCATGACTTCATCCATGCTCTTAAAATCTTTCATGATTTCTCTCATATATTCACATGTTTAAGAGACCATCTGTTTCAAATAGTTTGTTGATGGTCGATACTCCTGTTATTGATTCTCCAATTCCACTGATAATTTGAAAATGGGCACTGGAGTGATCTTACCATCCTCTGAACCAATTACTTTTTATAAATCAATCAATGAATTCTTTACTGCCTTCTCATAACTCTCCTTGATCTTGTAATCAATAGACTTCACCTACTTCAACCAAACTGTTTAGACCTCAATCCTATCAAATAGAAATGGATCATAAGTCTCAGACAATATCTTCCTTATTTCATCAAATATTTATTTCAACTTCTAATACATATCTCTTCTATGTTTCTCTTATTCCTCCTCGAAGGACTTGTGATCATATTGCTTCTTACGATCTATCTTTATCAACAATTTATTGGCAATCTCATTGCATTTACCATCTATCTTGTCCATATTGGTCTTAAACATCTTCAATTTCAAGAACATCTCTTAACAAGCTCTACGACAATCCCTAACTTAACTATCAATGATTGTCTTTGCACTCCATCTCAATCGGGATGCCAATGGTTATATTACCTTTATTGACAGTCTCCAAATGTTGAGCAAACAATTTCTTCTCAGTTTCTGTCATATAGTCCAAATAATGTTGTTGTATTCTCTGACAACTAACATCACCAACTCTCTGAGCACTCTCAAGCTCTCCTTGTGATTCTAAGTAAAAATCATTAGCATAACTTGGAATCACAACACCAACAGCTATCAATTTCTACCAAGCTGAAGTCTCATGCAACAATTTTAACAGTTGTCTATCGAAATTGCTTTCTAAATGGCCAATCTTAGGTCTCAAAGACTCCTTCTTATATTAGAAATCTGGATGTTTCTCATCTGTTCTCAATAATACCTACTTGTCTAATCTGGTAGTCAAAACTATGTCTTCCAGATCTTTACAATCTTCTTTCCATTCCTTCAGCCTGGATTCTATGATAAACTGTTTCAAATTCGATGACAACTATTCAAATTTCTCAATTGCAGTTCTCTTAATCGAGTCATCAATGAAGTACATCTAATCAATCCAATATCTCATTCTCATGATTCTATGACTCAATGAATTAACCCAAATTGCCTGTCCAGAAAATGAGCCATGTTGTAAAGGGTAATACTATAGTTTCTTAATATTATCGAATTCATGTTTTGTTGCATCAATTTCTTAGATGAATAATTCTAAGACTACTATAGCCTTATTTTGAACTACCCTCTTGATCGATTGTCTTTTAGCCAATTAATCAAAAGCTTCCAATAATTCAACTCCTTATTGAACTGTTGTCATACTCTCAAAAGCATTATTAATAATATTGGTGTACATAACATCCAAATCCTTTACTCCATTACGAAATGCATTAAAGACATCATGCCACTTAGAGGCTTTCACATCTAATATCTTATCCTTATCAGTTTTACGAATATCTCTGATTGGTTTCAAATGCTTAGCAAAACTATCCTTTATTTATTCAAGATTATCTTCAATCTCTTGACCTTTGCTGCCTCCAAATTGTGGAATGTGACTACCAGCTCCTTTTCTGGCAAATTGCAATTATCCTTCACATATTTCCAATAACTCCTTGCAACGAGAGATGAAGGCATCAACTTAAGCAAATATAGAATTATTGAAATCCCATTTAGGTCCTTTAGTCAATGATGACATCTTCTCAATTGCAACTGACATTCTTTAGTAAATCTTCTTCCATTGTTCTCCACACTCAATTGAATCATTCAAATCTTAAATGCATTTCTCCACATCACCATCCAACATGTCATTGATATTGATACTAGACTTGCATCTCTTAATAATCTCATTTGAAATTTTATGGATCAATCCTTGAATCCTCTCTGGAGTATTAAAGTATCTAGACTTCTCCCAGATATATCTCACTCTGAATAACAAATTCGGGAGTAATTCTGGGATCTCCTTGGGTGTAGCTGTCTCCAACTATTTGCAAGGTTCATACAGAATCTTTAGATTTTCTAAGTTGTCCTCTGCTTAACTGGATCCCAATTTGATATTCTCAGTAACATCCTTGAAGCTCTAGACATATTGACTATCACTCAATATTTGGATGATTCTTTTCAACTCTGGTTTCTCCAATTATTCATGAATGTGCGATAAATTATTTTTTCTTTATCTCCAATAAGAGATCTCATCAAGTGGACCTGCATTCTCATTCTCAATAGCCAATTCTTAATTATTCACAATGTCTTTGATTTATCTCTACCAATGTAATAAGATTGCCTCTAATCTTTACAACAAGTCTTTGTCATGAGAAGCTTACTCAATATTATTCAAGTCTTCATTTGGAATATACAACTCAGTAATGCCTTCTTGACTGAAGGAATACTCAGTAAGAGTTGCCATGAATTTATGTAATTGAGCCAAGAACTCTTTTTTTACATTTTCAGGCCAAGAGGAGTCCTAAATAAATTATGGTATGAATTAAGCATTCATTTATTTCAATAATGTCTTCAAGTAATTAATATTGATAACACCATCGCTGACATACTCAGCAACATTTTCCTCACTTATTATCACATCTTATGGGTGTGGCAGTTTCAAAAAATACACAAAATCGGGATCAAATGCATCAGGTTCTAATCTAGGTGGATCTGTCTCACTCATTTAAATTCCTTATTCTGTCATCCAAGCAAACAAATTCGCTTATCCATGCTTACACATAAAATTAATAGATAAAATATCATGAGGATCATTCTTCCACTACCATTGTTCAACTTCATAGGAGTCCAAGTGTTCTAACACTTATTTTCTCACGTAAATAGCTCCGTAATCTAAATATTATTTAACTTTTACCATTAGCACCAGCTGAGGCAAGTTTCAATAACGATTTTCTTCTGGCTGCCTATCGATGTATTCTAAATCTAGGGGGATCCTCTGTTTTTCCTTAAGCCAACCATTCCTCCTTTGTTTTCTACCATTCTTCTTCTGGAACGGCTTCCTCTTAGTCTTCTGAGATTTGACTCGTATGATCAGGAGATCCCCTATCCATTTTTGGGGATTCTGGCTGACGAGGTGATGACTAATCAGGTAGTTCAATCTTAGTAATCTCTTATGGAGAAGTTTGATCAGGAAGAGGTTGCATAGGGGATTCTGGTTCACCATCATTCTGTAACATTTTTTTTAATTTAAATAATGATATTTATTTAATAAAAAATTACTTGTAAAGGAGGCTTAGATATCTAAAAATTTATTTTATTTAATAATCTTTCCAATAATAAAATTTCATCACCATTGACCAATACTAGTCTAACTTTATCACATTCTTTTTTTTAATTTCCTCCTTTCTTACTCAATTCATCTATCAGTATTTTTTAAATTAATACTTCTTTTAATCTTTATGTATTAGATAGGAATTACAAATTTTCATTATTATGGAAAAATAAATTAATTGTTACTTCATTTCATAGAAACTTACTAAATTTCCATTATTCATACATTCAATAACAAACTTTACAAGTGTATGAATTATTTTCAATCAGCCTCATAAGCTACACGTTCCACCTTGACATAGATATCTTAATAAGATATAAACCCGTTATTAAAATTCATAATTCTCAATTAGCAAATTTTTCAAATTATGAAAAATTTGTATAATGAAATATTTATTTTTTCAGTAGATAAATCTAATTCACTTAAAATATTAAATTTATGATAATACTCAATATCTAGTTTAAAAGATGATAAAAACTTTTATATATATAAAATACATGATAATTCAGAGTATTATGATACCTATCTCTATTTATTAGTCATCCTTAGCTAATACTATTTTGTAAAAGTCATTAAGATGTTCAGCTTGACCTTCAAATCTATAATTAAATTAAATGTAAGATTGTAAGGTTTTATCTTCAACCAGGTGTGTCCTTATCGTAATAAGACACAGTTAAATATAAATATGAAGGTGATAAAAAAAGAGAAGGACAACCTGGAGGTATTTTAATTGGAATTCATAAGTAGTTCCATTTTAGAGATATAACAAATTTTTTCATCGATGGAGAAACTAATGATCAATATGCATCTGGTCTTCTGATTATCCACATTGTGAATCAAATCGTATAACTGATTTATTCAAAAGTTTGAATAATTAAAATTTTCATATATTAATTTAGATTAGAAGGATAATGAAATTTTTAATTTGTATTTAGAAAGTTTGGAAACCAAAATTTTTAAAAGGGTTAATGATAATGAAAATACTCTTTGATTTTCTTAATTGCTTAGAATTTTATTTACAAGAAAAATTAGATTAAGAAGGAAGTATTTCAAACATCCAAGTTGATTAAGATTTTCTAATTCAATAAATAAAATAAATATACTTAGAGGATGGCAGTGAAATAGATTATGTGGAAGAATCAAAAGAATAATTCAGTTTATTAGATAATTTAGTTTAGAGGTTCCACTTTACAAATAAAGAAGAATGGAAAATTAAATAGGGTCTAGTTTTTACTATAATTTAGATTTCATCCAATTGTTTTTCAGATAATCTTGCTTCTTTTTGTTAGAAAGCTCTAATCTAATTGTGAGTTCAAGAAAAAGATATAAGAGTTCGAAACCTTTTAAAAAATTAAAAATTGGTAAGTCTGTAAACGCAGATTTTGTCAAAAGATTGGTAGTCTTAACATGATAGAATTGCAGGGAAAATGTAGGAAATGTTGAGCAGAATTGATGAATTGTAAGAATAAATTTCTCATGAGGCTAATCTTAATAAGCGAGATATATATCTGAAAGAACTTGATGAGACCACATAGCAATTAGATCAATAAATTGAAAATATCAGTGAAATGGGTCAATAACTTTAGATTGATAACTGATTTTGTTCATCATATCCGAAAAGGTTTAATCAGAGTGGAGGGGAAAATTAATGAAATGAAGGAATAACTCAAAAACATTGGCAATGA